TAGGTAGGTTGTGAAACACTGCTCTAGATGTTTATTCCCTTTAGTTGTTTCTATCCATGTTTTAGTCATTGCTGTTTAATCCGTCTTTCTGGGCCTCTCCCTTGACCTCTCTGGCCTTTCCCTCCTAGGTTCCACCCTCCCTCCGTGGTGGGCACTCTGGGCAGTGCTGCAGCGACCGCCAAGCTCCTCTCCCTTGATGCTGCCCGGTGCAGCCATGCTTTGGCCATCGCGGCCTCGTTGGCCGGGGCGCCCATGGCCAATGCTGCTACCTCAGCCAAGCCCTTCCATGTTGGCAATGCCACGCGCCTGGGGCTGGAAGCCGCGCTATTGGCTGCCCGGGGGATTGAGGCCAATCCCTGCATCCTGGATGATGTCCCTGGTTGTGCTGGGTTCAGCGCTTTCTATGGCGACTATGATCCCAGGCCACTGGCCCTGCAGCCGGAGGGCCATGAGTTCCTCCTCGAGGAACAGGACATCGCCTTCAAGAGCTTCCCGGCCCATCTGGGCATGCACTGGACGGTGGAAGCTGCCCTCTCAGCCAGGAACCTCTTGGTCAATCATTATGGGCGTTTCTCTCCCTCGGACGTCCGCACCATCATCCTGAGGGTACCCGTCTCCAAGTACATCAACCGGCCCTTCCCCGAATCGGAGCACGAAGCCCGGCACTCCTTCCAGTTCAACGCCAGCACAGCCCTTTTGGACGGCGAGGTGGGCATCTCCTCCTTCCATGACCACCAGATCCGGCGCCCGGAGCTGGCCCAGCTCCTCTCCAAGGTGGTGGTGGAGCACCCAGAGGACAACCCGGCCAGCTTTGAGAAGATGTACGCGGAGGTGGCCCTGGTCCTGCAAGATGGGGACGTCCTGACGGGGCGATGCAACACCTTCTACGGCCACTGGAGGAGGCCCCTGAGCAGGGAGTCGCTCCTGAGGAAGTTCCGGTCCAACGCTTCCCAGGTGCTTCCCGAAGACAAGGTCGAGAGCATCATCCAAATAGTGGATGACCTGGAAAGCCTTCCTGACAGCGCATTGCTGGCCTCTTGCTTGTAGAACAGTGGAAGCCTCACTCCAACATGGAACCGACTCAACATTTCAAGGACACTGCCTCCTTCTATTTGAAATGATGATGATGAATAGTGTGAATCTTACACCTGATATTATTTATCACCTGCTGTTTCCTTTCAGGGATTAAATTTCCCTTGTTCTGCTGGTCAGACAAAAATCAAGTGCTTGAGAGGTTCATTGAACTGCTTTCCAAGGCAGGATTTTGGTTTTTTTTGAGAATACATGCTGATGCCTTACTTGACCAAACAAACTTTCCTCAACTGCTTCCCTTTTAAATAGCTTTCTTTCTGTCTTGTATTACTAGTGATTCATGTTCTTAAATTATGCAATATATTTATAAATCATTTGTAAGGATGAAGCAAACTCAATAAATTATTTCCATTATCGAAGTTGACTTTGAGTATATGTTTTCCAACGAAACTGAATCTTACAATTCATCTAT